TGTTGCTACAAGGTACAAGTGATTAGAAATGTCAAAAATCGTAGCTTTTCACGACTTTCGATCTTCAACTGACGATGAGATAAATTGAAGAATTTTTACATGTTTCGATGTGTCTAACTTTCATATGCTTTCACCTATTTTCATGAAACTTCGTACATGTATAGAAGTTAGATCTACAATCGAAATGATTCACAATTGGAGGCACTAATAAAGAAATTAAAAATCATGCCCTTTTCCTTTTTATTCGAGACTTCTACGAATAGCAATTTCTTTCAATTTTTTTTATTACATTTTATTTAGTAAACCAGACCTCCCGAGGGAAACATCCCAAAGAAAATAGATCAGTACAGTACTTCACAATTCAATTTCGTTGCAAACAATGTAATACAAAAGTTGGATTTTTTTCGATGAAGAGACTCCGTTAGAACGTAAAATGTAGTCTGTAAGAAAAGTATCGTGTCATTTGAAAACACGTTTAGCTTTACTGCAGCAGGAAGTAATAATTTTTCAATTGTCCGTAGGCGAACTGTGCACATACATTCTTGTCAATGATAATACCTTTTTGTCTTCCACCGTTGCCTTAAGGTGGTCGATGCCTGTTTGCTTTGCATGTTTCGAACAGAATAAGAATGGAAAAATGGTTCTATCTACTGCAACAGTTTTCGATGCAGAACGTACTGCCACAATGATATAGATTTATAGATTCACACATATATGAGCTCTAATCGTGTTACGAATGAGGAAAATCGAAACGAATTGAAAAATATATCTGACTATAAAATTAAACTGTAAATNCATCCCAAAGAAAATAGATCAGTACAGTACTTCACAATTCAATTTCGTTGCAAACAATGTAATACAAAAGTTGGATTTTTTTCGATGAAGAGACTCCGTTAGAACGTAAAATGTAGTCTGTAAGAAAAGTATCGTGTCATTTGAAAACACGTTTAGCTTTACTGCAGCAGGAAGTAATAATTTTTCAATTGTCCGTAGGCGAACTGTGCACATACATTCTTGTCAATGATAATACCTTTTTGTCTTCCACCGTTGCCTTAAGGTGGTCGATGCCTGTTTGCTTTGCATGTTTCGAACAGAATAAGAATGGAAAAATGGTTCTATCTACTGCAACAGTTTTCGATGCAGAACGTACTGCCACAATGATATAGATTTATAGATTCACACATATATGAGCTCTAATCGTGTTGCGAATGAGGAAAATCGAAACGAATTGAAAAATATATCTGACTATAAAATTAAACTGTAAATAATCAACTACGAGTTCATTAAAATTCGACTATAACTGATTGTGAGTAATAAAAATGTACATTAAAAGCAAGTTATTAACTTCTTGCTAAATTATTTCGACATGGACGATATTTCATTGAATTTATCAAATCTCAATTTTTTTAAATTATCAATAGAATAATTAAAAAACGAATTCTGTTTTTGTTGAAGATTCCTTCTCACAGACTCTTAACACTGTGCAACAGAACATTCTTTTGCATTGTCATTCTTGTAGAATTCCTCATGCCAAGAGGAATCCGGAAACAGAAACGCTTTGTCACGTAACCGTTCCCGAAAAACAGCGGTTTTTGTAAAAATTCATGATTTTATATGAAAATGAAGTATTTCATGAAAATTAAGAGCGCGAGGAAGTTCATTTTTTAATCAACAGGTAGGCGAGACTTCACAAACCGTCCACCTAAACATGTAATATCTCATTTTTCTTGAAAATCATACATTTTTACACAAATCATTATTTTTTTACAATTACATCCGATATGGAGAAGTTTTATACGGATTGTGAATACAATCTCTAAATACTAATTATAATCTCACAAAGATAAATGATGTCACGCAAACTTCAAACATGGTGACGAGTCATTCGAGTACCACTAAACGGGTATTGATCATCAGGCTCGAAGTGAATCACGTGTAACAAGAATATGGATAGAATTTTCGCTACAAGGATATTTTTATTCTATTCCTCGAAGTTAGAATGCATTAAATCTATTTTTATCGAAAGGCGATATGGATATAGATTATGTAAACGTAAAGACTTTGAAAATTACAGTGGCTTGCATTGTATTATGAATTCAATTTGTCCTCTTGCATCGGTAGCGAACTTAATTCAATTGAATTGAGATATCCCAAATCCGGTTTGTCCTGGACATCTGGACGAAAAAAAAAACCAGCGGTGCAAAGTATGCACGGAACACGTGAGAGAGTCCATAAACGGTGGGATTACGCAAGCCCGGGCGATTTCTGTGGAATGACAAGGCTTTTATATCGATTCACCATACAATCTTGACATCCTTTCCATCGAGGAAATTGAATGAACAGGGTGGATTAATTAGGACCGAAAACTGAAAGTGATTTATTTGTTACACTGGAATTATTAACTTAATATAAACGGAGCAAGAAAATTCACTATTAAAAAGAAGAAACAATTTCTTATTTATACTTTAGTCTGTTACAATAATTTGAAGAATTTTTCTTACATTAACTTTTGCAGATTGTATGCATTACACAATATCAAAAATATATGTAGTTAAATAAAGGTGCATAATGTATGAACAGTATAATATGTAAAGCATGATACTTAAAGGTTTCTTACTAAATATCATTTTTTATATAATTATTGTACCTAAAAGTACACAGTGTAAAAATAACATACAGTATTGTAAAAAGGTACGCCAGTGAATAAAAGTTGGGTCATTTACCTTAATGAATTTTTATGTAAATCACATTTTTTAAATTGGCATCGTAAAAGTTTTATTTCACACAAACAACCTGTCAATATCGTTTTTTTTTCCTTTCCTGATAGAGAACCAATGTGACCATAATTTCGATTACATAATTCCGTCCACCTCCACTACGTTTGTTCTTTTTCTCTTTTTTCACTTTTACGTTCCAGCAATGCCGTACTAGATACTGTAGATACATACGCACATACATGCATTGTTCACATTTGCGGGATATACTTATGTAAACGTGCATAACAATGCTAAGTTAGTAATCATACGATTACCAGCGGATTCGCATCCTGCTTCGGCTCTGACTCGTTCCTCTTGTCTTTGATTAATTGAGACTTAAAGTTAATAGCAATTCTCATAC